CTGAGGAGCCCTCTGAACACGTATTTAAACAGTTTAGTCATGTACAATTCAGTTAATCTTGTGCACAATCTTTATCTCTGAGTGAGAATTGATAAAGATTTTGATGCTGAATTAGGAGGACATCCTGCAGACACTGGAGGAAACAATGCAGGAATCAATCGACCTGTCACTCAAGACAGATGCTGTCTCAATCCCAGGTAAAGGGAACGTATCAAAATCAAATATGATAACTAAGAAATACTGTAAATATTTGATTTAAATTACTAAATCAATGTATGTTTTTTTTTAGTTTCTTTAGATGTTACAGAGGAGCTTGCATTGGTGAAGAAATACTACAATGAACTGAGAGGAAGCCCAGATGGACAAACACTAAAGTAAACTAATTTGGTAAAACTTTGTCAAAATGTTACATAAGTGCCCTGATTATGAGCTGTTCTGAAAAATGCTAACAATACTTTTAATTACACTAGTGCTGATCCACCTGGTCCAGCAGCTGCACCGTGACACGTGCAGGTACGTTTTAGTGAAACTGATGATCCAAACCAAACATTCAAACAGATGATAGATGATATAACAGGCCTACTGTTTGTCATTACTGTTCACAACCTCACTGTTTATCTCTCTGGTGAATTTTGAAGGTTTGCTCAGTGGAGAGAAACAGCAGAAGTCTGATTATCCACTGAAGGTCTCAGCAAGGATGCTGATTGAGGCGTGAGGCCTCTGGATTTGGTGTCAAGCATTTTTATCAAGATGTTATCTTTGTTCTCTTTGAGTTTTGTTTTGATGTGTGCTTTGAGTTTGCTTGTTGTGAATTACATGCAGACAGATTTTAGATTACCTTTTTTTGCTAGAACGTTTTTGCCTTTAATTGATTGTAAATAGACAGAAAATGTTTGGAGAGAGAGATATGGGGGGGGATAACGTGCAGGAAAGATCCCCAGCCTGATTTAACCAAGGACGCTGTTTTCATTATTACGGGTCGTAGCCACTAGGCCACTGTGACATCCCAGAGACTTTTTGTTTTTATTAATAATTTTATTAATGTTTTCTTCTTCTAGAATATTTTTAATGTTTTTCATCTATGTTTTTATTATATTACTTTAATTAGGGTTGATTGGGAGGGGTGTGCTGCAATTTCCGGGCTTTTATGGGTGTTCACATTAAACCTCAAACCTTGATTACAGTGTAGTGTAGGTGGATTTGACTTTAGGCTTTTCCAAGAATAATCTTGAATGCTTTTTTTCTTTTTACTATTAATGACAAAACTGTTGCTTACCTCAAAATTCTGGTTTGTGTGTGTTTATATAAAGGAAATAAAGAGAATTAGATGATAGTAACCAGTGGCTTCATCATGGGAAAAAACAAAAAACGTTCGAACATTCATTTGTTCGTTTTGTTTTGATCTGCATTAATTCTAAATGCATACATGTAAACTGTCCAATACACCTAAATAAAGTTTGGTTTTGAGTGAAAGTGTAGTTTGGCTTCTTTATCATTTGTATTGTAAAATTACCTTAAAGCTTCTCTAGGTTCAAGATAAACAAATGATTTTCCAACTAGGTTTTCACTTAAAAGGCATGTTAGAAGGCTTATTCACACAGTAGCCTGATGTTCATTAAACAGAAAGTGTCAATGTGTAAAAGCTGTGTAATTCTGCACGCTTGCCCCTTTGTACACATTTTGTGGCCAGATCTGGATTTAGCTTATGCTGCATTTTGTAATCACCATTATTTCTTCTTCCCACTCATCGGCCTGGGCTTAGAAGGGGATCCCTCAATGTCTTTTCATGTTTATTTTTCTAAAACATTCACTTGTCTTCAAAGGGGCAGGAGTTTGAGCAGTTAATTAACTTTTATACTGTGAAAAGCTGCATAAATGAATTTCAAGCTTTGTCTCACTAACTTAAAAATGTGTGGGCAGACAAATGTGCGATTGTTTTGTTGGTGGGTAGCACAACTTGAGCAAGAGACAAAAACTTATCTACACTGTCTTACTTCTTTAGCTAGTTACAATACTGAGACTCTTTGTGTGTGCCATTCATCAATTGACCCAAATGTTGTGGTCCTGTGATTAGATAATTGAGACAGCATTGTATAAAATACTCTGAAATTTCTGCGTATCTGCAGCCTTAAGACTCCTGTTTTGTGGTTGCGGAAATGTGTAGCAAGTGTGTTGGAGAGAGCCTTCTAACATGCCTTTTAAGTGATTCCATTCTTGTTCATCTGATGACGGTTGTGTAGACCTAAACACCATAAATGATTTCTCCACCTGTAAGCGAGATTATTGGTTGGCTGATCATGGCTGATGCTGTTAGTTTCTAAACCTCTGACATACTGGTTAACTATATTAGTTCAGCTGACGTCCTGATAATGACTACTGTCCAAACAGGTTCAGTAGATGTACCCTGTTATTGATGAATATAGGATGAATGGTAATGATAGGTATTCATGTTGTAACAAAGTGCCCCTTTTTCATGCAAGAAGATGGACACACATAATATATGCATAGTGAGGGCATCATTATGACGTTTTAAAATACTGCTTTTGAAGGAAAGGGGACGCTGAAAATTTATTCATATTTTCCAAAGCAGCAAAGTCGCTCTTTAAAATATCTCTGATACATGAAACATGACATCGTCGCTCAAGGTTACTGCTGGTATCCAGTGTTGAATGCTTTGTTAAAATGATCTCAGTAAAAACTAAAAAAGGGAGTTGGGAGCACAGAAAGAAAGAGAAATGGAAATATCACTGGCATGATATCAGGCAAACACAGACACATTATGTTGCAGTACAACACCCTGTGTTTACTACAGGGCTGGCCTTGTATGCTCCATGGGTTAGTTCCTCTTCAGGATAAACAGTTTGCATTATGTTTGCATGAGCTTGTCTATTTTGGCTGTGTGCAAAGGGGAGTAATCTGCTGTGATAGGAACAATTGAAGAAGAAGAAGAAGAAAAAAATGTTCTGATACATCAATGAAGTGACCTTCTCTGACTCTCAGGCTGTGCATTGTTCTCAGTGGAGTTGGTTTCATGGTAAGACAGCTGTACCCATAATGAGTGAAGCAATCAGGCCCAACCAACCTGTTATTATTTTTAAGATAACTCCCACATCATATTAGAGCAGGTGGGGCTGTGTGGAGCCACAATCTTACCAAGCAAGTAAAGAGAGAAAAAGGTCGCTTTGTGCTGACACGTAGCTGATGTTAACTTACCTCCTAGTCAACATGGAGACAGAGTCCGTTTGTATGCTCCATCTTTGTTTTACTGATCTTGTCATATGATGTCTAAAAGTAATCAATAAACTGGGTCATGCCCATGAGCGATCCATTGTTTTAGGCAAGGTAGTGGTGTAAGAAGTTCTCAGAGCCTTTACTTTAAGTAAAAGTACCAATACCACAATGGAAAAATACTCCATTACAAGTGCATTTAAAATCCTACTCGAGTAGAAATACAAGTATTTTCAGTAAAAAAAATACTTCAGTACTACATAAAAGTTCCTGGATAAAAATTTTGTCCACAGACAAATTGCTCCTGTGACTGATTTATTAATATGTATTGAATTATGAGATTCTTAACACTGATGCAACAATCTATGAGTGGCACTTTACTGTTGTAGCTGAAATATAGGATAATTTAACTTATTTGGTCCAGCAACAGCTATTTAAATAAGATCTAATTAGTTTAGAGGGGAATCTGTCTTCGTGGAACTGCTAAAAAGTCATATAGACACTACCTTTTTTGTAAAGGATCTCAATCCAAAAATGTTGTAAACCACTGGTTTAGTCTTTAATGTGAATATTATTTAATTATTATTTACATTTTATAAGCTCATCAAATGCTTTTTAATGAAAGATTTTACTCTGAGAGGTAAATATAGCTATAGCAAAAAATGTTTGGTGTTTCTGTTCAGCCCTCATCTGGTGATTGTTGTGTTCTGACGCTCTGCAGTGTATTGCCCGCTTAGTTCTGTCATGTTTCGTCTCCCTGTTTCCCAGTGTTTTGTGGATTTTGTATTTTCCCTGTGGATCACTTTTACTACTCAGTTGATCTTTACTTGTTTCTCTGGATTTTCTGTTGGTTTACCTTTTGTTTAGATTTCCTGGACTCAGCCACTACATTGTAAGTGTACTCGCTTTTTGTTGGATTAAACCCTTTTGAACTGTACCTGCCTGTTTCCGTGTCTGCATTTGGGTCCACCTACCTCCTGCCTCACCACGCAGACCGCATGACAATGTCAGCCATATTGCTGTGCGCCACTGCTTCAACAGCCAACATAGGAAGTACGATATATTTACGGCCCACATAGACTAAATTAACAGAACATTGTAACAATATTTATTCAGTCAACTAATGTTCAAAGTTCATTCCTGACTGTGGAAACAATGACAGCTTTCCAGTTCTTTATCTGAGTTGATTTCTGATCTATTAAATTCACGAGGTAATATAATACATCTTGATTGTATCTCAACTGGAAACTATATGGCATATATTGCTGTATATTATGTTGTGAAGAGTTTAAACACTTTTAATGTTAAAAACAATGCAAAAATACTAGTATGTAAAAAGATTTTGGATGACTACATGGTTCAGCTGGATCATGATAAAATTCACCATTACTGTACTGAAAGAACTACAGATAAACCCTATTAACTTTTTTAATTACACTTAAAATGGCTATAAAACAGATTTGTGTGAAGTGCCTACTGTGAGTGCTGTTCTATTTCAATATGTATACAACAAGTCAATAAGCTTAAAATGCTGTTGTAAAAGGCTTTTGGGATTCTGCTTTACATGGGCAGCAGGTGTAATCTTGGATTCATGATGGTCACAATGCTTTCCATTCATGGTCCAGTATGTCAGCATAGAAATAAAAGTGTCCACAGAAATTTCAGGAAAAAATGCAGCATAATCTACATACCTCTCCACTGTGTGTGTGTGTGGCCTTAAGACCTTCCAAGAAAATAACTTTTCATTTTGTCATGAATCAGAGTTCAGAAAATTGACATAATTTTAGAATTTATTCTGTTCATAGAAAACATGACACTTTGGCATTTTAAATAAAAAACTTTTTTTTCAAGAGAGCTCTCAGCAAACAACATCAAACACTGAACACTACTGACGCAGAAGTATAAGGTCAATGTGGTATCGCAGTGAACAAGTGGTGTACCAATTTGTTAACATGTGGTCAGATAATATGTTCCCATAAACCTTCTTTTATTCTGTCTGCCCCTTATTCTTGACATGGGCAGTGGGAAATAAGGGAAATGGCATGCATTTTTTATGGTCTTAATAATTTAGTTTTACTAGAAAGAAACTCCACACTGAGTATCTGCTGTGAATCTCCTGTTATGGGAAGCTACATTAATGTAGCAGTACACCAGTGCAGTGTTGTAGTGTTGTCAGTAAACAAATACATCAAGAATTATTTTTTTCCATTTGGCTTTGATTTAAGCCAAATGTTGAAACACATTTATATGTCTCAGAGCACTGTAAACTCAGCACCATTAAATAAAGAAAATAAGCCCAAAAAGGTACTCAAGCCCTTGAACAAAACTTCTAATGAATGAATTATACACACTTAAATACTATTTTAGTGTATTTTAGTATTTTCATGGCAACTACATTATGTGTCTGTCAGCATGAAACTGATGTTTGTATATTAACTTACATAAATATTTAAATACACACTAAATGTTTATGAACACAATTTGTAAGTATATGCATGCTAAAACACTATAGATAGCAAAGGCATAGTTACGGAAGCCGTGAGAGCCACGTGAGAAAAAAATAAATACTGGTGATCAAAAAAGTCCAGTCTAAATTGTTTTCTCTCCTGTGTTTGCCAGGTGAAATAAGTACATATATTATGTGTTAGCAAGTTATGTACCTTTTGTTCATCAATCAGAAACACAACAATTCAGGTTAGACTTAGAACACTGATCCACAGTATTTTTTTTATCACATGCCTTCTGGGCTTTCGTATGTAGTTCTTAGGCACCGATAAAATATTTTGACCTATTTCGTTTCTCTTTAACTCTGACCCTCCACACAAAGTATCAAGCTACATATGACTTTTCTAAATCAGTTGTTGCAACTAAAAGATACAACATTAAAAAACAATGGCATTATGATGGTGTATATCAATGAGCTGTGTGGTAGTAAATACAATCATCTGAATTTCAGAAGGTAGCTTAAAGACAATCATAATATTAGCAGCGCTGACTGGAGTTTCAGTGGTGAAAGGTTTGTATTAAAAGACTAAAAATTCAAGTTCAAAGGTCAATGGATGGCGAGTCACCAGTTACCCCAGAGAGTGCTGCTTCTTCAGGTTTTCTGTGCGCCTCACTCTCTCCTCTGGGGTTTTTCTGTACCAGCTCCTGAGAAGAAACTGCCACTGTCATACAGTGATGACTTTAAAGACATCGGCAAAAGCTAAAATCCATACATTTATGTACCCTGTTGCCTTTAGCGAGAGGTGATTAAATTTATGTTTACAGTTTTATGCATGGCATGTATTGCATGTGATTGCAATGCATTGTTAATGAGGAAAGGAGCAACCCAACAAGCTACTCAACATTTTCTTATTAGTGGAGTAAGGAATGTCAAATAAATTACACATGGCAGTTTATGTGATTTATGAGAGCAAGATGAGGCATGCATTACAAGATAAAGGGACAAAAGTTAAGCATGGTGAAACAAGTAGAAGTATAAAGTTACCCCTGGCGGTTCAACTGGCCTGGAACAGGAGAATTTTGGCCTTGGCTTGGCTTCAGGACTCTGGGAAAGGAAAGAAATACTGTATGTAGAGAGCTGATTTTCTGGAGACAATAAATGCAGGAAAATTGAGGATAGAGCATGAAACCAGACTGTGTTTGTATAGCGCCTTCTAGTCTTCCGACCACCCAAAGCACTTACACTACATATCACATTCACCCCATTCACACACATTCAAACACTGATGGCAGTGGCTGCCATGCAAGGTGCCAACTCTCACAGGGTTCCCACTCTTTTCTAGAGATCATTTTCCAGGCCTTTTCCAGGATATTTTATTTTTTCTCTCATTTTCCAGGTGTTTTCCATGGCTGTAAAATTGGTCAACTGTTTTCCAGGACGCAGAAGAAGACGAACTCTGGAGCAATGTGGGGTTCAGTATGTTGCGTAAAGACGCGCAGACTGGAGGAACCGGGGATCGAAACTGCCGATCTTCTGACTAGTGGACGACCTGCTGTACCTCCTGAGCCACAGCCGCCCCCAGTATAAAGCTCAAAATTAAAATAAAAGGTGATAATAAATTCTCACAGCACCTGTTAGAAGTGGGGCTCTTTGGCTTCTGTTGCATCTTCCTAGCCTGTGCTGGGGATTCACCAACCCTGAAGGAAATACACACCATAAAAAAAATACTGCTCATCGCTGGATCTCATCATCGAAAACATTAAATCTAAAATCCCATACGCTATGTATGGCTGTGTTCCTCTTCCCTATCTTACCTCTTTTTCCTGTCCATAGACCTCTGTGTAGCAGCAGACAGAACCACTCTCTCCTTGGGGCCCTTGGCTTTCTCCTGCAGTTTTGACAGAGTCAGTAAAAAACATAGTTTATGATGGAAGTACGGACAGTGACAGCATCAGACAAAGCATGTTATATGCTTCACTGTAAAGATGGATCGTAAATTTGATTACCATGGTTCTATATAAATAAAGCTCATCATGATTATTTGTGTGCCAATAGTTATAAACAGGTAGACCTAGGGGTGACCAGACGTTTCAAAAAATGGGACAGTCTGGCATGTGTTGTGCAGACAGATGTGAAAGGCACAGCACTGATGAAATGAATAAAAGAAATTAGTTGATGATGATTTACACACTGTTTGACTTTATGAACAAAAATAATTAACTTTACCAAGAGTGAGCTTAACTGAAAGACAAAAGAGATGTCTGTCCTTCCTTTCAGCTCTTTCCTTTAAAAGAAGAGCAACAAATGTGACCTCCATCTGATGTGATTGCCTGTATTTTCAGGTTACCATGTCTCGTAGCTTCCTCTCTGCTCGGAGCTCCCTGTCCTGCTGCAGCAATGCTAATCGATCCCCCAGAGGCATTTCAAAGAAGATGTCATGGATGTCGTAAAGGGCTGCACGTAACTGAGAGACAAAAGATGCACACATAAACACAAAGGAAGGCGGACTTCTGCTGTCTATAGACAGAAACTACACAGTCATACCTGGGCTCTAACTCTCTCCTGCAGGGAGCGATCTTGTGCTGAGAAGGTGGCTCTCTTCTGTGGAGCTTCAGTCTGGAATGACCGGATGAACTCCTGTGTATCCTAAGCACACATGCAGCAAACATTCATAAACATACAGGTTTTTCCCAGTAACTAACATGATTCATTTATCAAACAACTTTAATCACACTCACATTGGTGTTCTTTCAACATTTTTAGTTTGTGTTTTTGAGTGTAATCTCACCACGATGGTCTGGCGCAGGTGTTTGACCTTCTCTGTTTTGAGCAGTCTGCGTGTGAGGAAGCCGCGTATGATGGCGCCAATTCGACAGAACAATCTCTGCTGCTCTGCGGTCAGAACCTGGAGAGCACGAGAAGGTGGAAATGTGAAGACAGGAACATCTATTGTACGATCACAAGCACACCCTCTCGTCTACTTGGGCACACTCACCAGACTAAGCCTCACTCGAGGTTTGCTAACTGCCCATGTGGGCCCCCACAGGCAGACGGGAGGCTGGACAGAGGGAGAGGACACACTGGAACTTACAGGACTGGGAAAACCTGCAGAAAGAAAGAAAGAAACATTTTTAATTTATACTTAAAGCTAGAATTGGTACCATCACAGGTTTTTTAGTGGTTACTGCGGTTTTACTGAGACATTCCCGGGAAGTAAAATAGTTGGTTTGCATTGTCTCAACTGTTTCCAATGATGAAATGTTGCTAAAACTAATCGTATCCTTTACCAAGATATATAACTATAACCATTATTGTCCCATCCTTAACTGCAATAAAGTACACTCACCTTTCACTTCACTATCATTATTTTTTAACTTGGTATCACTTGGCAGTAAGTAGAGAGCCACTGCCCTGCTGCCTTTCCTCTGTTTTAATATTTTGTTAGAATTCAACATCTGTTGCTCTCATGAGATTTCATAGGAACTACAACTGTAGCAGTATTTTGTCACCACTGTTCCACAAACTCCAACACAGTAACAAGTGAGCACGGTGAAGTGGTACCTATGCTGTGTCCAGGTGATCGCTCAGACGGTGTGTGGGCGGGGCTTAGTCCTGGACAGGGGGGGCTCACAACAGGACAGCTGTCACTCACAGACCTACAATGCCACCCACAAGCATCGCCACTCAACGGTCGCACACACCCCCGCTCCTTCAGTGTTTTCTCTGTCTCCTCTAGCTCCTAGCCACAGTGACAGAACACACACAACACATTTACACATTAATGTACATACACACATACACATGCTCTGGAGCAAGCAGGAAAGCTTAAGAAAAACATAATTAATTCACACTTCTGCATTGCAACTAAACAACAAAAATGAATTTAGTAGGTTTTGTTGTTGCTTTGTTTGTTGCATTTGTGGTGTCTACATCTATACAGAATAGATAATGTGTGATTCCAAGTGCTGACCAGGCAGAGGCGCTGTTGCTCTTTCTCCTGCTCAGCCAGGAGCAGCGACATCTGCAAGGCATGCTCCTCCTCCAGACGCCTTTGCATGTCCTCCAGAGCCCGAGCTCTCCTCTGGGTCTCCTCTGCGCAAATAAATACATGTGAAATCATGGTTTTATTCCTTTCCTTCATTTCCCCCGCCTCTTTGTCATACAGTATTTAACCTAAAAGCTGCAATGGGAGAAATGGTAATCTCAGTGGAAATTACTAATTTTTACACTGTGTGCTTCACAGGAAATGCTCCAGAGAGACTCACCTGTCCTGCTGGCCTGTGCCTCAGCTGCATTTCTGAGAACAGTTGGTGTGATTCTCCCATTGTTTGTCCCCTGAGGTTCATCAGAGTCCGTTCTGAGTGTGACCTGAGCCAATTCAGGAGGGATGCGTGGCTTCAACAGAGATGCTGACTGATTATCTACCTCATACGACTGGTTTAAGGGGGCCGCAGGGGTGCGCCAGCTTGGAGCCAACCGAGTAACTCCTGCCATGAAGCGAGGAACCCTTTCCTGGCTGCGATCTATTTGCTCAACTCCAGAGTGGTAGGCATGCAGCTGGCTGTCCAGGGTGTGGCAGCGCCGGCGAAATCCTGCAGCCAGATGGTCTTGGTGTCCCTTCGGGTTAGGCCCTGAGGCACTAACAGGGCAGCAGGTCTCCTGTACTGGACTGGTACCACAGTGGCTGGATCGACGATTGCCACTCCTGCTAACACCACCCCCATCTACACTGCCCACTGAGCCCCAGTGATCGAAGGACTTTGTGGCCCCTACAAGAGCTTCTCCCCAGTCCGCCATGCCAGCGCCTTCACCTGATCTTCCTGGGCTTCGGGGGATAAGGTCTGCTGGGCCGATAGGAAATGAAATATGGATGTTCCCTGTAGAAACTGGCCGAGGTCTGCGTTTCTGTGGACGGGGACTAATGCTGGACTCTGGACTGGGGAGACGAGCATATTGGTCAGGTAGACTAGGTGAGAGGGAGCCAGATCGTTGGGGACTGGGGTCGTATAGAGTTTGATGCTGAATTGGGGTCTGAGGAGGGCCGATAGGGCTATGGTGCAGACTGAATCCAAACTCAACGCATGTCCCCCCCATGGGACTGCAACTCTTATTCTCCTTGTCAGAGACAGGCTCAGCCGGGGGAGTCCTGGTGACTGCAGGGACAACTTTTGACCCCTGCTGATTCTGCTCTCTCTTCACGTACTCCCTTGATCTCTTAAGAAGGCTGTCCAAACTAATGTCATCCTCCTCTTCCTCCTCACTCTTCTCTTCCCTCTCCACCATCACTTCCTCCACTGCCTTGCAGCCATTGAGGATGGGGGTCTCAGAGCGTGGAGTAGCAGGCTGATCACTTGGCTGAGGCCCAAATCCAGGGCCTCCAGGAAGTCCGGGAGAGTCGGTGACCAGGGTGTAGCCACTGACTGTCGCCGATTTAGAAACCGGCAGCTTTTCAACCTCTTCACTTGGTACTTTATATGTCTGTGCAGAGAAAACAATGATGATCAAATGATTGCTCCTTTAAAGAAGGGAATTCATCACTGACATACAAACAATGAAAAGGAAAATAACATCAGATACTGCAGTGTTCCTGGTTAATGAAGGTAATTTTTTTTTATTATTCAAAGACCACATTTCATAACTAGAGCTGATTTGCAAGTGTACACTATTGCTTTGGATGTTGAGTTGACAGAAAAGGGCCATCATCAGGTAAAAAGAAACAGACCTATTTTACATATGGCCACATTTGAGAGTTTATAAATATATAATATATATAATAAAGTGCCTTAATATTTTCTTTATGAACAGTGAGTAGAAAAATCTATGTTGTACATCTTAATAAGCATTTGGATGTGCCATATTACCTACTTCTTCTATAGAATGGACTTATTTAATTTTACTTATTCAGTGCACACTGTAAGCCTTCACAATATCATATTGATATTTTATCCCTTTTCCACTGGATCCCAATCCAGACCACACCCAGGCCTGGAACCAGGACCATACTGTGCTACTGACCTGAGCTTGTTCCACTATGTCCTGAAACCTGGCCAAAAGGTTATTCCTCTGCCGGTTCTGCCTGTTGACCTCCAGCTGGACCGCCCTCTGTCTGTGGTCAGATATCTCACTGCGCAGCTCGGCACTCAACTGGAAAAAGAAAATACACATTCTTTTTATAACACTGATTCAAAAAACGTCTTGGTTCAACTTTCTGCTTGGCCAGTCTCAAAAAATAACAAATTAGTTGAGAACGAGTTATGACAAGGTTTCCGATGTAAAAAAAAAAAGAAAAAAACCAAGGTATTTATGAGATTTGTTTGTGATTTATTTTCAGTTATTACTTATAATAAAATCACTCTTCTTCCATTATATGTTTGTCTGCTTTGTTTGAGTGGCAGAGAAATCCTCAGCCTCACACTCCTCTCCATCATGTCGCTACTCCTGACAACTTGTTTTGTCAGCAGCCACAAGCAGATGGATTCTCCTGACTAACATCAAAGAGCTCTGGTGTTCCTCGTCATCAATTACCTCCTCTCTCTTTCCCCTGCCAAGTGCTGTTCTGATTGGGACTAGCCAGCCAACGTGTTTCTGTCCAAACTGTATATTATGTAGGTCTCAAAAACAATCATGAGTTTTTCCTTAAATGTTACCTTTAATTTAATTTAAACTGCGATTATGTAGGTCTGTGCACGTCTGTATTTTCTGTCTCAAATACACATCAAAGCATCCATCTTATCAGAATCAGAAAAAACTTTGATAAAGTGCTACATGTAGACCAACATACAGTTGACATAAATAAATGTTAAAAATATTTAAATATGGAATAAACAGATGCAAGCTATCAAAGATTAATACAACTGTATGTGGAGAATGTGGCAGATATTGACATGTGCATTAAGCAATGTAAGCAATGCTCTCTGTTTCTATGGAGCATAGAGATACAAACAGAAAATAGAGATACAAACACACAGCCACAGCAGGACACCGACACTTATACATTTGGTTGGTTTCTAGGGAAACATTTTGTCATTAAAAAGCAAAGCCACCTTTGTGGCATATTTCTTGCACAGTAACGTTACACCTCTTAAAAACACCCATTAGCTACGTCTTCTGTCTACTTTAAAAACTTGAATTGGTTTAGCTACATCTTGTGCTGTCCCTTCAGCATAGGTTCTTTGTTTATTTCTTCCTTACCAGAGGCGAAAGCACAGCTCTTCCATGGAAGCGGATTACAGAGCGAGCCTTCAGGGACCACAGAGGCTCACATGTCGTCTTCTTGAATTTCCCCTCCTCCTGCAGTATGGCCAAACTCCGCAGACAGAACTCCTCGTAGCTTTCCATCTCTGGACACCCACGCATCCACACTCTGAATAGGAAACGCTCACCATGTAGCCTCCTCACCCAGCTGTTAAATTAAACGGAGTGAGTAATTACGTGGACGACCGCGCAAGTCAATGGACGTGTGTGCTTAGACTGCAGTGGGTGTGGATCACCAGAGGAAACCATGTGGAAGAGCAGGACAAATCGCCTACAACAAAAGAGGTTCTGTCTGCCCTTAGAGGTTTTATCACTCTCATCACATTCCTGCCATTCCTGTCTATCAGACCTTGCTGGTGACTGACTCTTATTTCGTATGCGAGTCATGGAAATGCACATTATGGACTCGTGTGTCTCATCAATACAGGTTCTATTTCTGAAATGTCTATCAACAAATGGATGGTGCGGACCCTTCACACACGTAGTGTAAGTTAACACACAGGGCGTTAGCCGGAGCGCACAGACACTGTATGAGTGAAATTAAAATAGAATTTCAGTGAAATCTGCGTTGTAATTATGTGTCACTCGTTTTCGCTATAGAGTAAATGAGCGTCCGTTGGCAGGTGTAGCCAGGTAATCCAACCTGGGTTCTCCTAGTGGTCTTCAGTCGCCCAGTTACAGTAACGTTAGCTAACCCACACTGATTCATGACAGCACAGCAACGTTACAGTATCCAGTTATTACAGAGCAAGCTTGACACCGGCAGTTTTGAAGGTATACTCTAATAAGAGAAGCCATTCAGACGTTTTCGGTACAGATGTGCTCTGGCAGAATGACACCAGTAACAAATGCTCGTTGCTCCTTTCTTACCTTCACAAAGGAGAAAAAGTGAAATCCCTTTTCCTTTCTCCCGACGGCGACACGCGCAAAATGTCGCAGAGAAAACAACAAAGAAAGTGGCTACAACATGAACCTCACATTTCTCCTCTCAATCTCGGGTTGCCCATCATCATCATCATCTTCGTCATCATCGTTTCTCTCATCAACTCTTCCGGGCTCGAACAGCGCCTCCTAGCAACAGCACGTGGGCCACGTCCCAATACGGTCCGCGCGACCTGTCCACGCTGCCTCCTCGCGAGATCATCGATTTAATTCACGCGTCAAAAAACAAATTATTCTAGATGTTGTATGTTTTGTTTATATTATGTGTGCGGTGACTCGTGGCGGGAAGGAGCGAGGTAGGAAGGTAGGAAGTAAAGGATGGAACTGTCAGAAAAACGGAACGAGTGCTTTTTTAACAATGACCTCTCACTACATCTAAAATCACTTAACTTGTGACAAAATAAAATAAAAGATATCCTATTGTTCAATCCACAGGGGGCCAGGGGGCTAAATAAGTTGCTGGGCCCCTATTAACTCCCCATTCTTCCCACTCTCTGTGAATTTTGTAGGCTATTCATATTCTGGCATGGCCGGTTTTGCTTTGTGGTAATCTTATTAAACACAAATTAATTTAGGATTTGTCTCCATGTCTGCAAATCATAAACTGAAATAATGGTCTTAAATATCAATTTGGACATAGGACCTCTATCTCTTAAAGACAGGGCGTGAGCAATGCATTAGGTAACAATAAAGCAGGTCCACATTAGGGTCCAGCTGTTAATGTTTTTTTGTAGTGCATATTTACAATTCCCTAACAAACTTACAGCCAATGACATTACCACAATAATTGCCAAAGCAATCCCCAGCCTAACACTTGGTGGTCCCCAGGGGATCTGGAGCCCCAAGGAATTTACCCGCTTTGCTGATTGTCATTATCTAAGTATTGTGTGTCATATAATTAGAATATCATCAAAAAGTTGATTTATTTCAGTAATTCCATTCAAAAAGTGAAACTTGTGTAATGTATACATTCATTCCACACAGACTGATATATTTCAAGTGTTCATTCCTTTTTTAATTTTGATGATTATAACTGACAACTAATGAAAACCTCAAAATCAGTATCCCAGAAAGTTAGAATATTATGAAAAGGTTCAATATTGAAGACACCTGGTGCCAAACTCTAATCAGCTAATTAACTCAAAACACCTGCAAAGGCCTTTAAATTGTCTCTCAGTCTAGTTCTGTTGGCTACAACTTTATGGAGATGCAGATTTCATTCCAACAGGACTTGGCACCGGCACACAGTGCCAAAGCTACCAGTACCTGGTTTAAGGACCATGGTATCCCTGTTCTTAACTGGCCAGCAGTGCCACAGACTGATCGACTTCATGCCATGCCGCATTGCTGCAGTTATTCAGGCAAAAGGAGCCCCAACTAAGTATTGAGTGCTGTACATGCTCATACTTTTCATGTTCATACTTCTCAGTTGGCCAACATTTCTAAAAATCCTTTTTCTGTATTGGTCTTAAGTAATATTCTTATTTTCTGAGATAGTGATTTTGGTAGTTGTCAGTTATAATCATCAAAATTAAAAGGAATGAACACTTGAAATATATCAGTCTGTGTGGAATGAATGTATACATTATACAAGTTTCACTTTTTGAATGGAATTACTGAAATAAATGAACTTTTTGATGATATTCTAATTATATGACCAGCACCTGTATGTTCAGCTGTGATAGCTGTTCAATGGCCAATCCAATCAGTAGATCAGCTTACAGCAGCATTCTCCTGCTTTCCTGTTCAGCAGAAGTGGATCTTTTTAGAAAATTCTCATACCAATATGCTGATCCAGGGGACACCAGGAATGATGGAGCTGTTCAAGGTCCTCAAGATATTTGCTGTTCCGTAACAGTCAATTGGTTTTAGTAATTTGATTCATTTCAAATTTGAGAAATTGTGCAATTTTACAGCATCAAATACAACGGGTCCTACATTATTAGGTAATTTTGTGGAGGGGCTCGGTGTCAAAATAACATTTTTAGATCTTTATTATTTTAGCAAATTGTTGTCACATGACAGAAATTCCTAAATAAAGGTGGGTTTAATCAAATTACCACAAACTAACTGTTAAACAGACAACCTGGTATTATTAACTGTATATACCTGCAGAGGTTAATTTCTCTGAGCAAGCAGTGAAGCTCTCATGTGATGTCTGCTGCGTACTGTACTTCATATATGGAGAACATGGTACAGAGAGGAAACATACACAATGCACAGAGAGCATGGGGTTTGAATGCTTGCTCAAGAGCCGGTTAATCCAGATCAGCCTGTGGCTCTGTTTCCTGTTTGTGCTGATTTGAATTTTCATTTGTTTGCATTATACATATTTTACATCAATGTGGACTTTTAATTCTGAAATAATAGATTGCAGGTCTGAAGCCCTTTGTATCATTTTATATTGCTGAAAGGCGATGTGAGGAGAGAGTTGCCCCCACCATGCTGGGTAAAATGTACAGCCCCTGACAATGTTTTTCAATTATGTCTTTATTATACTGACACTTAAAAAACACAATATCATGACAACAAGCCATCCCTTATTCAGTTGCAGGCAAATGGCTGCTTTCACAACTCGTCTCTTGAGTGCACAGGTGAACCTGTAGGTTGAGAAATGCGCACATGTTCCTTGTTGTTCTGTAGTATAGATTCAATGTCACTTTCTGTAAACATGTTTTTTTTGGAACCCTGTCACAAAAGTTAAATGATGTTAGTTCTAATATGGGCAACTTTAATCATGTTAGATGGATATCAAGTATACGTTTCATAAGTATACAATTACCCACCGCCTACCTCAAAAGACTGCCGTTTCACCACTACACATGCTGTGGACTGCTCATAACACAGGGCTGTAGCCAGATGCTTTGGTTCTTTATTCACCAAAGCTACATGGAACTGGACATAGTGAGAGTCTGGATGGGGACTGAAAAATAAATTATTAATAAGAGTGTGATTTCATCGAGATCTTAACTAATAAGTGCATGCGGGAAAATTATCATTCTATCCTCAGAGACATGGTCATGTATGTGGGACAGCAGTTTCCCACAAACATCCCCTACTGATGAGGTTCTAAACTACTGTCTGTCTGCTCTAAGCTGGGCATGGCTTTCTCGATCTCTGGAGGGCAGTATGAGCATACTTTTATTCATTTTCTATGTCTAAAAGAAAAAACAAAGTCATATGAGGAACAACTGACACACAATCATAAAAAATAATAAAAAAATAATTCAGTGTAAACCATTTTAAACCATTGCTTCTTGCTCTAGGCCACCATGCCTCGTGCTGCTCTTAGACAACTCTCACTCTAAATAGGCATCTGTTTGGCTGGAGCCACTATCCAGCGGAAACCTTTGCCAAACTACAAATACAGTCATGACTGAGGAAACCATGTTAGCAGAATTGTAGTGTTTTATTTTCTTACAGTGTTCATCTGGCTGCACAGACAGAAGGTAGAGCGTATGGGCTACACCACAAATATTAAGATCTTCATAGTCATAGACAGTCAACGTGCACTAACGGCTCTACACACTAGGAGCGACATGCAAAAGCAGAGCAGTAAACTGCACACAAGCTAAATCATGGGGTCACATTGCCATCATTCCACAAATGACAGGTGTCCCGTTTTTTTAGGTATTTTATGTTTAAAGATATTTTTTGCTGGTCGTTAAACAGGGGTCTCAAAGTAGCCTACTGTGGGTGTGAACTCAAAACATTTGACAACTTCCAGATTCTCGACAGAGACATAAAATTACCATAGGCTTAAGATAAAAACAAATTTTAAACACTGAAAAGATCACTTTTTGAAAGCATGTGTTAAAAATGTTCTGAAAAATAGCATGCAACAAGAAATGTTAAATAACAAAATGCTTTCAGAAAGGTTTATGCACAATCAGAAAACATGCAATGTAAATGTAGAAGAAACAAATGTGCTTTGTCCAAAAAGAGTAACTTAAGCTTAAAAAACAAGCTACTGGTTACTGCATTATATTCCATTATATTTTTATATTTTGAATTGTCACCTGCCACCTGATTTGTGTTTCCCTTTAGTTAAATAAATACATTTCCACCATAAATTGGTGCAGAAAACTTCTCCAAAATGCAGGAAATTAAATGCTGCCACTCATATACATACTTCAGCATTGAATATTTCTTCAATATAGTATTAACATATCTTCTCTCCCTGTTCTTGTGAACCGAATATTATGTCTCCTGAGCTAAGTGTATTGTCACACCCATAATCTTAAGTCCTCACCACTTTTCAACACAAAGTGACACCCTTGGTCAAAGTTGTTCTTTAGTGATTAAAGTAAGCAGATTACTGACAGTTAAAGTAATTTGTTGCAATCAATCACTGGAAATTTATTACTAAGACTGTATTTTTGGAGCACTTTTTATAGCACTGTGATATTCTTAGCTACCATTTCGCTATAATTAACAGAGCTGAAAATAAAATACGCCAGTTCGATTTCTTCAGTGTTTTCTTTGTTTGAGTTTACTTATTTAATCAAGTCATTTTTGTTTTGTGGAGTCACATCACAGATACATAGAGTTACCTTGACCCAACTGTAAAAACTAGAGACTTGATATATTCATTAATTCAAAACCTATTATCTGCCAGGCTTCACTTGAGAGAAGGTTTAATATATATTTACTACTTCTTTTTAGTATTTCGTTCCACCACTGGTAGTAGCATTAGCTGTTGTTTTTGTAAGCGGCCACTAGGTGATGCTGTTTTATCTCGAAAGTTAGTTTTGAGATCCCATATATGGTCCTTTTTACCAAATAAGGATTGACGCATGTGACGCCGGCGTCGCAACGGAAAATATGATCGTGTGCGGGAAAGGCGAACGTTAGAGGTCCTCTTTTCACGGGAGTAATGTCCTGCTTGTGAAGCTTTGACGAACTGGATTTAGATTCAACACACTACAAGATAAAGCCATTTGACGGTCCCCAGTGTCAGAGCCAACATGTGAGTAGTATAAACTTAGGTGCTGATGTCAATTACGTCACGTGTGTGCTATCCTGAACTGTCATGAGAGGAGACAACATATCTAAAGATTTTTTGGATCGTCGTTAACGTTTTGTACTGTGATGCAGTATTTTGGGGGAACACGGGCTGTGTCTTCCTTGATTAGTCCTCTCTGCATAGGTTTTACTTAGAAGAAGCATATTGACATAAAGAGAGAAGCCCATAACGATTTGAACCCCCGAAAGTGACTTCAGCTTTTGTTTTTGTTTTTTTTCCTGACCAGTAGGATACAGTTAGTAGCAGGGAGCTAAGCTAATTTCCTGGTCACTGGACAATTTACAAATGGATTAATTAAAATACCACTTTCTCCATCTGCAGTAATGGAAAGGCGTATTAAATTATCTTGCAAGCAATTAACACCCTTCCTGCCTGTTGTGGCTATTTCCCTGAACCATCAGCAAACTATCCATGCGTAGCTAGGGGCTTCAACCCTGTAATGTTACACTTCCGCTTTCATTTAAATCCGGGAGACCGTCTCATTTTGTAAGCTATTTTGATAGGCTAAGTGATAAGGATGTGAATGTGTTATCCCTGGTCCTAGGCTGGTCCAGGTACAGAGGACAGGAGTCATGACTTGAAGAAGAGGTGTGTTGCCATTTGCTGGAAAGTAACAAGTATTTTTAGGTGGTTGTACTTTATGTATTTCCATTTTTATGCTTCATAATTCAGAGGGAAACATTGTATTTTTATTGTACAAAAGCTATAGTTAAGCAGTTACTTTTAATGATTAATATGCTGTATAAACACCTAAGCTTTTGCATCGTTAAAGAGAAAACTAGCAGTTTAAAACCTTTTTTGGCTTGTGACCCCTTACAAAAAAGCACTGTTTGTTGTTGGCAGTTCTACCCTAAGAGACTCTCCCCCCTCTAAACACCAACATGGCTTAATTAAAAAAAAGTTTGAGGCCCAAAGATGTAAAATTATGCAGTATTTCACAGAAAAAAGCATGCTGTCCCCACAATTTAAACCAAACTATACGTAAAACTAGATTCACTTTGACCAGCTACAGCAGAAAATTCTGCTTACTCATTGATGAATCCAAATTAACAATATATTATTTGATATATAACATACTCATACACAAGTAGAGGGTCATTTTCTGTGGAACTAGTATTTTTCCTGATCACACTTTTGTTCTTTTACTTAAGTGGGATTTTTAAATGCAGAGCTTGTAATGGGATATTTTGATACATTTTACTCAAGTAAAGGATCTAAATGCTTCCTCCACCGCTAGGTAATGCTCATCTGAAACTGAATTTTGATAGAAGTAGGCCTAGTCTTATCTAGGCTGAACAAGGGTGTGAACAATGCTGGTGTTTAGTCTTTGGCAGAAGAACAGGCTGCCTTTTACTGTTTATCTTCAAGTTGTGATGAGATTGGGTCCAAAGTCCATCTGAATAAGGCTGCTGTCCAGCAGATGGCGCCTCGCCCAAGAATGTTTATGCAGTCATTAATGTTTGAGGTTGGATTTTGAACCAGAGATGGTTTGTTATAAACTATAGTGTTATGCCCCCCAAAACATACATAATGATATAATAGTAGAGTACTGGTTTTCTTAGTTTTTTATATAGTATAACAGTGGTGGAAGAAGTACTTAACTAAAAGTAGCATTACATTGTAAAAATACTCTGTCAGAAGTAACAGCCCTGCATTTGAAATTGTACTTGAGTAAAAGTACATAAATATTTTCCAGCTAAATATACTTAAAGTTTCAAAAGTAAAATTACTCACTTTGCCAAATTACGTTATGGATCCTTCAAAGTCCTGCAAGCTGTTTTATTTTATGCACACAAGATATGTGAGTTAGTATTTTGTGCAGCTAGACAAAAGGTTTTTAAAATCTTTTTTGGGCACTTCAGGGACTCTCCTTTTAGTTTCTCGCAGAACAATTTATAACTTTGTCACTGTTAGTAGTACATAATGACTTTACTCAAATTACCAGCTTTACCAACTCCTACCTGAGTAGGTCTAATCAGACAGAACTGAAAAAACATATGTGTGGTTATTTGGGACAATTCATTTAAAACAACACATATTTAGTTGTATGTTTTGTATGTAAAATCAATGTAGTAAAAAAGTAAAATATTTCCCTCTGAAATGTAGCCTAGTGGAGTAGAAGTATGAAGTGGATATACTCAAGTACTTTAAATTTGTACTTTAGCACAGTAATTGAATCAATGTAATGAATTACTTTCCATCACTGGTTTTTGCATCCTCTTTGGTACTGCTCCTACTCTATCTGTTTTCTTTCTTGATAACTCTTTCTCTGCTCTGGCAATAGGACTGCAGCCCCCAGTTTTCGACATGCACAATAAAAGCATTCCTGCAAAACAGCAAGTGTGCTCAGTGGACTTTTTTTTTGTCTGTGTATTTTTACACTGCTCAGTGTTTTATCTTGACATCACAATCACCAAACATTTTGTTAGGGGGACAAAAGTAATAACTGTTTTTCTATTGCATTAGTCCAGTGGTTCATAGGTCAAATCCCATTTTAAAATACTTGCAGGAACAAAACTGCAACAGCTTTGCAACTGATGCCAACTTTTTCCTAATGCAGTCTAGGGATTAGTTGTTGCAAGACTGTTTCGGTGCTGAACAGGGCATAAACTAGACAGGGCATTAGCTAACACTGAGGCCATGTGATTGATTTTTTTTTTATACACTTTCCATTCAGGGTCTGGTCGAAATATTTCTGTGGAGGTAGGGTTGCTTTGGGGGGATTTGAACTCATGACCTCAAGATTTAAAGAATCCTGGGTCCCTGCAATTAAAAAAAATGGCAGAATATAGCACTGTATACCATTTTTGATCTTGCACTTAAAATAAAATGAGAAAATCCCAGATTATTATTTTATTATAACAATATTTTTTATTATTATTATTACATCATCGATCAGTCATGCCTTCAGGACTGTGTTTATGCTTGTTTTGATGACAGATGTGATGCGGTGAGCTTCAGTGTCAGTTGAGATCTGCTCCAGGGGTTCACTATCAACTTAAACAATAGTGTGTTATCTCTCTCAGTGCACCGAGCTCCAGCAGCTGTCCGGTTCATGCCGTTGCACCAGTGCTGCGTTCCTCCAATAGATTTAAAGTGTGCGCCCTGGCCGACAATAGAGGGGCCTGGGAGTGGGAGGATCAGCTCGGCAGCGATCCTTCTGGCTTTGTTACGCCTGGGAAGCCATTTTGGATATCTGCTTGTTGTGCACTAGCATAACACTCACAAGCTACTTGCAAACTTTTGTGTTTTTTTTACGAGAAATAGAACGCTTAGGATCTGTGGGTCCGCAGTAATAAATAACCTTTTGGTTTCCCGTGCGTCGGGATACTGGCAGAAGTTTGCGCATCTTTCGTGATAGTAATGCGTGGATCTTTTACCTTTTGGATTACGCTATTAACGAATAATAACATACATGGACATTAAACTCAACGGGCAAGTTGACATGCTGCTAATGTATATGTTAATATAGCTTCAATTTTCTGTTGTGAATGTCTCGTTTCGTTGTATTCAGATCTATTTTGTCCTTGCTGAGCTCCTTTACTCAAAACTAACGCAATCTCAGGCCTTATTTCCTAGAGTGATTTTTACTGCGACGTTATTACAGTTAAATATTTTATCCATTATTAAAAGTGGCCAGTCAGCCCGTGCTTTGACTGGTAAATGTCGAAATGAACGTGTGTGAAAGATCAGTGGGAATAGTGCGTCGCTGCTCAAAGCCTGTAAGTCGGTGCTTCCATGAGTGACGGCGTTGTTTAAATGCATGACGTCTAAATTTAGCTGTGTGCAACGTGATAATGTTACAGGGCTTATATGCCATTTGGCCGGACACTATCTTTACTATTATTAACCTTTTAAGTATGTGTTTTGATCGGCACCAGTCTGAGACGCTGTTTTGACAGTAGGCGGAGTCACAGGAGTCTTTGGCCCTCTTCTCGCAGGTAGCATGCGTAAAGGAGCTACAGCAAAACAAACGTGTGAGGAGAAATGCAAGGCTGTTTAGATTGTAGGTGTGTTTGTGGGATGCCTGCATGGTCTTACTCAGCCTGTCTCTTGAATTATGAGCTTACGGATTAAGTGCTATACTGTTTTAGTATTTCTGAAGAAGAGTCACCTGCTAAGATAAAAGACTGTGGAGCAGAAATTGCTCTTTATTAACAGCACTTGTGGTCAGACTACAGTACAGTCAGGTTGACCGGTAAGAAGGTTAAAGTTGATTTACTGTAGGAGGTATTGGTGTTTTGATTTTGGAGCCCACCTTCAGCTCTCGCATCATCGTTCATTGCACCAGTTGACAAGTTTAAAACAACTAATCCTGGCTGAATTAAAGTGGTCCCCTTGGCTTTTGGCTATTTGTTTCTGTTTATCCCTCTTTTCGGCTTGGAGACTTGGATGCGGATTTGAAACATGATTAAGATTATGGGTTGAGATTTTGGTGGTGGATTTTAGGGAAAGCCATCTGTTTTATTTACCATTGCTGTTTCTGCATTATCTCTCTGTTTGGCTGAAGAGAAGTTGGGAGTCGGAGTTTCCTTCTTGCTCAGGATATATGAGGAAGTTCTGGTCACATTGATACAGTAGCATGCGGCACAGTTACTCATTTGCCTGTTTATTAGGTACACCTCGCTAAAACTGTCCTGCAATAAATCCTCCCTTCATGAAGGTTATAATGTTTAGTTTTTGATTAAACTGTTTCTGAGAGGCAGTGTTTCAACTTTTTCATTTTGGAAGCTGTAGTTTGTTGTGCTGTTGAATTGTATTACGTTTTACAGAGAAGTGTTTCTATTATTATTTACTGTACACCTCTGCAATATTCTACAGCAGTTATTTACACTGCATTAGTTTTAGCTAGGTGTACCTTATAAACTGGCAACTGAATGTATTATGGTAGCAGTGTTTGCACAGCTTGTTTACATAATGCCGGTTCCACTATGAGAAGCTCAGCCCTCACACCAGTTGTTTCCCGCCCATTGCCTAAAACTCAGCCCCACCCATTGCTGTTTTACTTGTTTCATAATACTGCTCTTTCTGTGTGTGGAGCTTAACCAAGAAGTCACTGTTGGAGTTAGCTGTCCTGGTGAGGAGTCTGCCCAATACAACGGGAGAGAGGATCGTCATTCTCTGTGTCCTGTCTCTACCGGCCATTCGGTTGCTGCCTGTTTTCCATCTGGAGGAGAAGAGACGAGTCATTCTTTACAGCTTCCCCCTTGTCCGTAGCCTCCGTCAAACAACCAGCCAGAGCCAACATGCGGGAAGAGGTCGGCCAACTCTCGTCTACTGTTAGAGCCACAGTAGCATTGTTGTGTTTCTGGGGGGGAATGTACAGCAGCTCTCATTAGGGCTTGCCTGGGCTGTGCTTTCTCACATGCTTCGCAGAAACCGGTGGTTGTGTTTTCTTGGAGAGCAGCCCAGTGAATAGCGCTAGAATTGATGTGAGAAGAGGCAGGGAGTTTACCAGTGCTGTATTGTATTTAATGTGTAGATGCGGTTCTGAATCTGTTTTAAAAATACAACTACACCGTGGCCGGTCTTGAGCTCATTAGCAGAACTAATTTGTCTGCTGGAGACAGGCTGAATGAGGCAGTGCATGTGTTTTTGGGAGCGTGTATTGAAGTTAGTTTGTGCTTGTTATCCCCCTCCACCATGTCAGCTTTGGCTAAAGAGTCCTTTTCCTTGCATTCCGACTCTCGCAGTCTGAACAAAGAAGAATGACCATGGATTTTTCCCAACTGCACACATATACGCCTCCACAGTGTGCCCCAGAGAACACCGGCTATACCTACTCTCTCAGGTGAGACCTCCGTGCTGTGTTGCGGTATGCTGGCTGCAGCAATGAACAGTCAGGCCTATGTCATTTCAGTTACACCCAGCCTGTCATTTGTGACTCCACGCAGCTCAGAGACTTAACTCTAAAGGAAGCTAAACTGTCCTTGAGACCCTGCTGTTGCATTTTAATCAGTTTTAAAGCTTTGCAAGTGCAGTGTCAACCAGCTAATTCATAATCCATTTGCTCAGGTCTTGTTTCCCCCTGATCAGAGTATGCTACTGAGCATTGTCAACCTTGATGCTAATATAATAACTGTTGTCAGTTTACTTGTGTCATTATGACTGTAATATAATGAGCGGTTTATAGGCTGACAAATTATGCCAGAGGTTGTTTTACACTCACTACTAGTGTGTTGGTTTTCTGTGTCCTGCTGAAAGACAAAACCTTTAAGAGCATTGAGCCAACTGTACATTGTTTTTATGATGCAGTCTCTTTGTGTGATTGGAAATTGGCTACAAATACAATTACAGCATGAAATGTTGACATTTTGATGTTTTTTGTTTTTTTTTTAACTTTCAGAAGCTTTGTAGGTCAGGTACTTTTTTCTTTTCTCCCCCTAAAAAAAAAAAAATCCTGTGGTTTTGATGACTCAGCATCATGAGTCAGTTGGTGTGTGTTTATGGTTAGTGTGAAATTGGGGGAGTCTTGCACAGAGAAAAAGTGCATGTACACTAGATTTCTCTATACATACTTTTACTATATTGTAGAATCAAGGAAGCACGGTCAGCTTTGCATACATAGTATGCCATTCCTTTAACATCAACCCTCTCCCATCATCTTCCTCATCCATGCGTTGCTTCATGAGCTCCTCATCATAGATCATATTTTAGGTGTGGTCGACACTTCACCAGAACGGTCTGTGCATGTGGAGGAATGTTGTCTTTCAGTGGTGTCACCGAAGATGTCTGCACCACTCAGAACAGAGAAAGGCGTTTGCAAAGGGTGTGTAGGTCAGGGTATGAAATACCATCTTGTCCTGCGCTTTCCCTCACTTTCTGACTTCAGGGGAAGGACGAGTTATTGCATGACATTTGGACACAGAGGCCTCCAGTCATTTAAGTCAGAGTATGAAGGTGTCTTGTAAAAGAAACGAGTTTTAGCAAAGAACTCGCTTAAAGTTTATAGCTCTAGTGTCTTGCTGAATGCATATCAGAAAGTAGAATCTTTTTCCAGTTCTTTTTCCTCAACAAAATAAATATCATAATAGAAAAAATAAGTGTTGATTCATTTGTGACTCAAATTAATTAAAGTAAACATTTACTGTATGTTTGTTATTTATGTCAATGAACGTTATATCGCAATAAATATCGTTTTATCGACTAGCTCTAGGTTGTGGGATGGCACTGATGCGCAGTGGTACCATTGGTGGTACCCATTTGCCTGTTGTGGTGGTGAGGTGCTGATGTTGTATTGTGACATAAATGGCGAAACAAAATGCACAGACGTTTAACATCCTCATGATATCGCTTCAATTTCGATGCACACAAAGTGCATTCCAGAAAAAGTGAAATCCAGTCTTGGTAACTAGTCTTACGAGTTTCACTCAGGCAAAGAAAGATGTACCAAAGCTTGTTTGACACTTCTGTGGAATCTGTCAGGTAGACGGAAAGGCAGAAACAAGCTAATCGTGTTCCTTTGAATGCAGTCAGCTGAGAAGCTATTAATGAACCCCACAGTCACAACCGTGGCCCTGATCCCAGGATTAGACTAATAGTTTATGCTTCTTGACCAGCTAGTTTAGAGATCTGTGGTTTTTATTAGCCTGTGTGTGCTGCAGCTGAGCAGCTAATGATTTCTCAGCTCTCCTGGGAAAACACACCTGATGGAATTTAAATCTGCTAAGTGAAGGCGGTTACTTGTAAATAGCAGAACAGCCAGACTGTAAATGTTGGATTTGATGCTTGGTCAAAGTTCAGAAATATCAACCCAGCAGAGAGTCTGACAGCTGATTGTGTTCAGACTTTACAGGGTGTCTGTGGCCTTTTGTGAGTACAAGAGAGAGCAGGGCAGATATGGACGAGGTCAGGTGACAGAAACCGTTGGCCCATCTGTTGTCAAAACTCAAAAGAGCAGCGACAAGTTTTGTGGCATTGAACGGTCCAAGAGAAAGAGGGAGAGGAGGCCAGCCAACCACGTCCTCTCTGTCCGTGCTCACAGCTCTTTAGAGACCATTACAACGTGGACCACCAACCTTGTGTTGTGTTCATTTAATTAATATTCTAAAGAGAGGGAAAGGTGTTTGTTAATAGATTTATAACCTAACAAGGTTTTTATTAGTGAATTGGGAGATTTCTGTGCTCTCTCACTTCTTCACAGCTGCTCTCACTCTGCTCTTTACTGGACTCATTCAGTGATTTCAGTAAGGTCGTCTACAAGGCTTCACCTCACACTCACTCATTGCCTGCTTCTAGTAGAAAACTACAGGGTCTTGAAGCTAACTTTCAGTTCACAGGTCTAAAATAATGCAGATAAATTTAGGAAGCCTTTAATTTTAGAGGTTGTGGTTTCTATCCTATTCATATGGTTTACATTTAATCCATGCATTACTTGCATTTAAATGTAAACTTTTGCAAAACCTTGGATCTACAGATTTACTTCTGAAAACGTATGGCACCAATCTATCATTCATTTTGCCTCTTAGGCTTTTGTTTAAAATAGGTAGTCATCCATATTTGGGAAGTATTTATTTATGTTTTCAGTCTTTTTCTCCTAGAAATAATATATAGAGGGGGAAATAAAATCCTTTGTTATGATATTTAGACAAAACTGTTTTTTGTAAACTGGAAGTAACTCTCAGATTGCTGATGGAAGAGGGTGGAGAGATGTGCTGGAATAGATGGAAATGCTAATGACTAATCATTTGAATTAATGTGTATCCTCATCATTTGTAATATCCATACATTTACACACATGCTCTCTCTAATACGCTGCTGGCTAAAAGTGGTCTACACTCCATCGATAAAGCTTTGTGATTTGCATCCCAGCTGGGAGGTGGTGCAGTGGTTCTTTACACACTGTGGTTCAGCATTGGGCTGTTCCAGCTCTTGAAAGACAGACTGACTGCACTCAAGTCCTCAGTGAAAGCAGGTGTGTGTGTGTGTGTGTGTGTTGTGTATTAACTCACACACACAGATATTCATATTTTATGATGGTGGAAGTGGGTCAGTGGGGCTGGGGCCTCTGGTTGGAGTGTTTTTCCCCCCACAAGTGATAGCTGTGACAGTAGAAGGCAGCACCAGTTGTCGAGTTATCTGATGTCGTCTGTGAACAGCAGCAGCAGATACCTTGTATGTGTGATGTGAGGTGGAAAACATACAAAGTCAAACTTCCATCGTTCCAAAGATCTTTTGAAATGCAAACAAAAAAACATGTGTAAAAGTGGTTGAGACTGCAATTTTATTTTTATGACTTTAACATAAATCCTAGAGAGCATATGAAATACAAATGGTGCTGTCACATTTGTACATGTGAGTCATGATCTGCAAGACAAGGCTCAGGGATGCAACTAAAGCAGCTGTGTGCACTTGTGAGTTCCAGTTGGGTAATTCTCACCGCCTTCACAGTTGTTATGACATCTGGTCTGAGTATATTTCAGCACATGCACCACTGGTCAAGTGCCAAACAAATGACAGCAGCTGGATTTTGGAGAGTCAGCCTGTGCCACAGTTAGTCATAACAACACATTCATTTCTCCTTATATACTAAACTGTTCTGCTTTTCAAACTGTTACTACTACAATGAAAGATCCCTGGCCGATTTTAGAAGCTCAACGGGTCTCCTTGTGTGCATAAAGTATATGTTGAGGTATTTTGGACATCGGAACCTTTTTATGTATCATCCAGTTTTGTGTCCTTGTGTGTTACAGCATCTGTCGGTTGGAAACAGTACATGTCCAGCGTTTGCTACTGAGTCTCTCTCTCTTGCTGTTTAGAGTGATCTCCATGGCAACCACAGCACCGTGAAATGGCACACTATAGTGGTACAATGTGGAGAGTGAAGGACACCACAGAGAGAGTGCAGGGCAGGAGGAAAGTGCTATCTGTGGGAGGAAAAATAAGGGTGGGCTGGAACGATCCTAATCACATTGCCAAATCCTACCCTCCCATAGACAGTCAGTGGAAATTTGAAGGCTCTTTGCTCGGTTACGGTCCCCCAGTCCCTGGCCTCTGGTAAATATAGGCCTCTGCGCTTCAGGGTAAAAAACTTTCTCCACTCTGTAACTGTTTGAGTAAACAGGAAGTGCAGAGCGTGCTACGTTTGTGTTCTGATTTGGCATTTTCCCCTACAGATTTCCAGAGGCCCTAGCACCTGAATATCAGGGGGGGGAAATGAGAGCCAGACAATACATAACAGTGTCGTCCTATAGTGTCGTAGGGAGGAGGTTTAAATAATTGTTTGTAATGGGCAACAAAATACACTCTTTACTCAAGCCATTTTACAGCATCCCAAGTCTCTATAATTATTTGTTGTTGGCACTGATCTAAAGCCCATGAAGATTTAGATGCAGTGCAGTTGCCTCAGATTTGCTTGTGTGCACTATTCTCAGATCACTTTGTGGGCTGTGTATTGGAGAGGAAGAAGACATTTATTTGTGTAGTTGTGATTAGATTATAGAGCCAAACAAACAAATTCAGTTTTATGAGATGGCATATACAGACGCGTTGGTAGAAAATGCCTAATAATTAATCAAATAAATGTGATTAATGCTTTGATGTCTGACTCCAGGCTGTTTACATTTGCAAGCCTAAAATTTGGGTGTATTTATCTTTTACTCTGTTACATGGTAAAATAAGAATCTCTGAGTAGGCTTACCCAAGACTTGCAGTACACACTAACGGCTTTGAGTATCTTTGAAGGGCAGTTTTTACTCCCGGCTAGAGTTTCGTTGGAAAAACACCCCCCCTTGTCTCTAAAAAAGATTTTTTTGTGCGGGTGAGGTTATGGGCTTTTCTGACAAGGCTTTT